TCTAATCCACACCTAGGTATCCTGAGGACGATCTAAGCGTCGACTGGGCCCGTTGTGCACCGCAGAAACGCTGCTTTAATCGTCGGTCATGCAGCAACCACAGCAACAGCCACACCACTGGTAGAAACTTACACCAGTTTCGACCGGAGATGCTGACATATGGAGCCTCCTTGGAGGATGTTCCTCCGGTGAAGGAGGTCATCCTGGAGGTGCGGATACTGTACATGGAGTTCAATGCCGAAGCGTTAGCCCGCCTTGAGAACAAGGACAAAGTAAGCTGGAATATGTGTTGCCTCGTGTTTGTTAATGACACGCAGTATAATGGATGGAGCCTTCCCTCAGGCCAATTAGCTATCCGCAGGTGCCTAGGAAGAAACGGGCATGAAAGCAGGATGCTTGATTGACAGCTGCTGACGGTGCTGCAGCCCAAATGCATCTGCCACTGAGGTCTTTTGTACCGAAAAATTTAGCTGTGGGGGCTCCAGCGATGGGAAGGGCAACTGCTTGGGCGCATCCGTAAACGCACTCCTAACAAGGGTGATTTGCTTCTCCTGCTGCAGCTCTCTATCGCCGTCATGTACAAGGGGGAGGACCTGGCTCAGGCCTGCGGGGATGGTCGGCGGGTATCTTACAAGGTGTTTAGGAAAAAGATAGACGACACCTCTGTGAGTGCATACAGCATCTGTACTGTTGAAGTTTTGTTGTTGCTGGTGGTGGTACTCCTGCCGCTACCACCCAGCTGCCTGCTTTTCTCTAGCTCCTTGGTTGCAGCGGGCTAATGACACCGTCTCCGTAGACTTGTTGTTCTGGCATTATCTTAGGTTCCCCATATTCAATGGAATTTGTCGATATGCTTTTATGCAGGTCACTCTAACTATCAACAGCACCTTCCAGCTTCCCTTCAGCTCTGCGTTTCCAATGGCCAATCCCAGTCTGGAACTCTATGTGATGATGGTGAGGTGTCATCGTTTCCTTCTTCCTTTACAATAACATAGCATAAGGACTTTCTCCTGATTATTTGTCGTCTCAACTTCCATTCCGTTGTGTGGGTGCCTGTGTTCCGGGCAGTGCGTCCATGGCTATCTCTTGCTGCCGCTTCTGTCTGCGCAGGAAAATCTATCTAATCTCCGTAAGTGCATCGCCAGCGCGAGGATTTCCCTGGGACGGCGCTGCCGAAGCCTTTCCTGGCTTCTCCGGACGAGCAGTTACAGCCTGTACTTAGGCACTAACTGCGCAAGAGAAGCAGGTGGGTTTTGTTGAACCCGTATCCGCAGGAGCAGAGGCTGCGACAGCCACACGGGGCGACTTCGCGCGTGCGCTTTGCAGAAAACATTTCAGTGACTCTCTCCCTCTAAAAGATGAGAGATTATGCATGGTTTATTCTCGACCAAAAAGGGAAAACGAAGGGTAGAGAAAAAGCATGCACTTTTGCGGCTCCTCGCAGGCACTGTCCTCATGGATGTGCGCCTCTGTCACACGA